GCATTCCCGGTTTCTTACAGAATTCAATGGGTGATAGGAGTGGGTATTGGAGGAGATATCATAGTATGATTTGCCAGCAAATACATCCTAGTATACTCAGGGTACTAGGCAGAAAGAAATATCACTCATGATCTAGGAGGAGACCTGATGCAAAACACAGTGGATAAGGTACTGTTTTAAACCTTTCTTGATTCTAGCTATATATACGTTTCCAGATCTCTTAGGTATGTGACACTACATGCATGGATGGTCAAATCCCAGAGGCAAATGACTTGCAATGTTATATGCTTCAGTTTCAGTGTGAGGTGTTTTTTCTTTGGCTCTTTAATATTACCTGGTCTCCACCTCATGATGACATCAATTGTTCTGTTTTTGCAGAATGCATTAGACTTCATTTTGGTTTATGATCTTTAAGTGGATCTAAACCTACCCATATATTCATATAATCTGTACACATTCACCACACATAAAATAAATTTATGTTTTTCTAGTCAATGTTGGCTTTTCCCAATCTTGCTTTGTTTTTTTTTTTTTTCAGCTGACTAATCCTATTCAGTAACTTGCATTCACATTCATACGGCTCTACCTATAATTCTTCATTGTTACAATACTTCTGATTGGCTTAGGCCGTATTTTACAAGTACTTTGACTAAAATTGCTAGCAGTGGGTTGCAAAAGGAAATTAACTTCTTTTAATAGGATGACTGACTTACTAAGGTATTAATGCTGTTAGTTTACCTTCTCTAAAAAGTGCTTGTAATTTTATACAGAAAGCCTAGAAGGGCATAAAAGCTAATGATGCAATTCCAGCATTGAAAACAGCGTGGCAGACATTTTCAGAAAAGAGTTGTCCTCAAATTATAAGAAATTAGTTCTCCACAGGTAACTATCTACCTCTGGTTTTAATGTATAAATTGGAGCTTTTAATTTTACCAGTGGATTATAGATTATTTTCTGCTGGATGCATTACTATGTTATTGTGTTTCAAAAACTTTTCTATTTCTTTCCTTCCATTCACATGGACAGAAAATATTTTTCTCCTTTTTCTTCTCAATAGCTGTTCAATAGCATGTTTATTTCACATCCCTTATGTTCTTGTAACAGGGCAACCACATTAAATTAAAAAAGAAAACTTAACAGAAAGCTGTCATTCATTCACAGATTTGGTTAGACAGCATACAGGGCTAACAGGAAGTAAACCCTTCAGGTGAGTCAGGCAGATAAAGCTTTTTAGGGAGGATCTTTTTGGGAGATTGGTTACCAAAGGGCAGGGTTAGTTGAAGATGGAAACCACTGGCCATATTTCCCTAAAATATTGTATTTAGATAAGACACCTTAGAAATAGGTCTGGGAAGTTCAATCCTCTTGGTAATTCCATTCCATCCTTAACTGCATGAGACTTTACTTCAGAAGTGTTTTTGTAGAAGACTTTGGAATTATTAGGGCTTAGTTTTTATTTCACTGTACTTTTATTTTTCATTAATGTTCTCTTCTCTTCTTCTGTTAGCTAATTCTCCTGAATTGGCTGACTTCCTGTGTGTGTGTGTGTGTGTGTGTGTGTGTGTGTGTTTTGCCATTCTTCTTCTTTTCTCTTCTGCTTTCACAGAAGATCTTGCCATTAGAAACTAGAAAGGACTGTGTACTTTCAGAATAGTCTTTATACATTTATCTGGTATAAGAGGGAAATTCTATTGCATCACATTCCCTCAGCTTCCTTTTGTGAATTCAGATTTTACTGAAGATAGGTTCCAAAGAGATACAAATAAGCATTGATAATTTTTTCCTAGGAGACTTCTCAGCTGGGGTCATATCACTTTCTGTCCCCTGAATAAGATAACTGGAAGGAAGAGGCTATTTTACCTATTTCTCCTATACTCCCTACAATACTAATCACAGTATTTCTCAAAAGGTTACCTGCATCAGGTTCACCTGGGTGATGATAAGAATGCATATTCATAGGTCCTAGCTCAGAACCATAGATTCAATATCTCTGGAGACAGAGCTCAGGAACCTGAAGTTTTATTTCTGTTATGTGCTGAATTTTCTCCTGTGCCTTAGCCTGAATTTTCAGTCACTGGCTAGATATGCTTACTTGAATGTATTTTCATCCCATGCTCACTTAACACATCCAAAATTAAACCATCCACTGTCCATCTCTAATTCTGTCATGCTGGTATACGTGAAGCCATCATTGGAGTCACTCATCCTCGTGTTCCCTCAGTTTTATTTAATCAACTTATTGGCCTTTGTGCCAAGCACTGGGAAAGACAGTGATGAACAAGACAGACATGGGTCATGCCCTCAAGGATAATGAAGATTCTTTTACAGAAAGCAACTTAATCCTGTAGATTCTTTTGTGTTTTTGTTTGTTTTGTTTTTCAGAATACCCCTTTACTTTCCTTGTCTGCACCCTAATCTAGAATCTCATCACGTATGCTTGGACTGCTATAATCTTCTCCTAATTAGTCTCTTTGCTCCTAATCTCCCAGCTCTTCTCAAAGATTAATCTGCTGAAAACGTAGTCTTCAAAACACCACTTTCAATATATTTATCCCCACTTAATGGCTTCATTATTTCCAATTGCTTGTAGGCTATTTTTCAAAGTAGAGTCAAGGCTCTTTACAATATGGCCCCCAAATGAATTTTTACTGAATGAACTCTTTTACCCCTATCAAACAGACATCTGAACTTGATGTAAGCATTTTCTACTTATTTATTTTCTGGGCTCATGACTTTAATTACACTTTGACGAAGCCATACTTTTCTCTTCAGGCCTTACTTTCCCTCCCTCAGCATGGCTGGCCCTAAGCACTTGCTCTTGCTTCAGTTCCTATGTTGATTCTCTGCTTTACTCATTAAGCATGTGCACCTTGGTAATATTACTTATCTTTCTATGTATTTTTCTAATTCTTCAATTATTCCATAAACTTTCTGAATGTAGAAGCAATGTTTCATATACTTCTTTATCTCTTCCTTGCCTAGTCCAGGCCTATATGTAATAAATGTTCAATAAATATTCATCAAATTCTTTATATTCATTTATTCATCCATTCTTTCATAAAAAATTATGGAATGCCCACTGAGAATATAGTCCTCTTTTGCATGGAGCTTAAATTTTAGTGGGAAAGACAGGGTTTAAGCAAATAATTAAGATAAAAATGAGATCAATTGCTTTATTTGTTTGCCAAGAAAAATTTAACAAGCACTTACCATAGGCCAGGAATTGTGTTACGTGCTGAATTCGCTGGGCATACAAAGCTGAAGTTGATAGGCTAGTAGAGGAGAATTATATATATAAGCTACTAAAATACAATGTTATAAGTGCAAACAAAATATACTAGGGGCACAAATGGGGGCAACTCTTTCTGCCGAGGAGTCAGTAAGGCTTCACATTTTAGATGGGTCTTGAAAGTGAATTTAAACAAAGGGTTGGATAACACAATATTCATAAAAGGAAGGTGGCTGTTGGAAATCTGACATTCCCATTCTTATATCATTATTCTGAGCAGAAACCTGAGCTGGGAACATGAAGGTGAGCAGCTAAGGCAAACTTGAGCCTTACGATGGTTCACTGCCAGGTGAATGACTAGCTATTGTTGCTGGGCCTTCATCTAGGTCCTTCCCTGGCCCTGTCCCCTCAGCATGGACAGCTGTTCCTAGGGAAAGGCCGTCTAGTTGCCCCTATAGTCTGCAACACCCAGAACAGAATTAACTCTGAGATCTTTCCCTCTGAGAATCATAGAATGATAGCGTTGTAAAGGATACTGAAAATCAGTTTAGTTGTTTCTAATTTACATCCCCCAGAATCTTAGAGAGTCTCAAAATGGCAAATGAAAATCTGTAATCAACTTTCAATATTTCAAAAAGCCTACTATAAATTGCATCTTCTGGTGGTATTAACTGCCAGGTTTCCTTGTTTTGTGCTAAAAATCATATCAGACTCACCTTAGACGGAGATTTTAACTGAGCTGTGGTCCGATTAAGCATGATTTGTTTTCCCATTATTATTATGCTTAATTTGGTAAATAACTTTTCAAAACAAGAGATCATGGTCGAACGCATACAGTTGGTGACACTTGCTACAATCTACAAAGCACTATTCACTGACTTCAATACTGTGGAACGGCTAACAGCAAAGCCCAGAGTCCTTGACTCTCAGTCTAGTGCTCTTTTCAACTGCTCAGAGCTTCTAGATTCTTTCCGTGTGCCCCAGTCTTCCGGGCCTTCAATCCCCGATTCGGAAGTACCTGTCGTACCCTCGCCACTGGGTCATACTGCCTGCCTCCCAAGCGACAGCTACCGCTCCCGGTTAACGTTCAGGAATGCGGCTCGCCCTCACGCATGCGTGGTGCAACTACCCCGCGCCGGCGCCGCTCTTCTTGGCCTGGAGCGGGGACCTTGGGTAACCCGCAAGGGTCGGCGCCCAGGGCGCGCGTGCGCAGTCGCTTTTGGAGCGCTTTCCCCCCCTCCCCTTTCCCCAACCCCTTTCGCCACCCCTACCATCCGTTCCTCTCTCCGCAGCCCTTTCACCCACTGACACGGCCCTACCCTCGGGCAAGTCACGAAGGAAACCAGCTCTCGACGAGGGCGGCGGTCGCTAGTGCGCCGCCGCCGCCGCCTACGGCACGTTGTGCTTGTCTGAGCGCCGCCCGCGCCGTGTCTGAAGTTGTATCCCCCGCCGCTCCCGCCCCTTCCGCCGCTCGCGTGCGCGCACGGCCGGCCCACGGAGCGCCCGGGTTGGCTGCGGCGGCAATCGCGGCGGCGGCGGCCTAGAGAGCGGTAGTGGTTTCTGCTCTTGTTTTAATAGTTCCCTCCGCCCCCTCCCGTCGGACGCTGTTGTGTGGTTGCCGTACAAAAATCAACTTTATTGTTCCTCAGCCCCACCTCCCGGCACGGCGCGCCTACTCAGGATGTACTGAGGCAGAGGGGAGGGAGGCGGCGGCGGGTCGCAGTCGCGGTCCCTCTCCTCCGAGCGCCCGGCCGGAGGGGAGGGAGTCACGATGTCTGGGAGCCGCCAGGCCGGGTCGGGCTCAGCCGGGACCAGCCCTGGCTCCTCTGCGGCCTCCTCGGTGACTTCCGCCTCCTCGTCCTTATCCTCTTCCCCGTCGCCCCCTTCCGTAGCGGCTTCGGCCGCGGCGCTGGGGTCCGGCGGGGCGG